ACCCTAACCCCTAAACCCTAACAAGGCCTTGGCTTTGTCGTAGTAACCTCCAAACAAGTCCCGCTCCCACTTCTCGCGAACGGCAGGCTTCAGCAGTCCTGCGGGAAGGTTTAAGGTTTTTGAATTTTTAGGGGTTGTAGAGTTTGGGGGTTTTAGGGCTTTAGGGGTTTTAGTGGTTTTAGGGCTTTTAGGGGTTTTAGGGTTTAGGAGTTTTAGGGTATCGTTTTTGTGTTGGTTGAACCAAGTAAGACTACTTCTTGTATATACAGTTCTATGCCCAAAAGGAGAATATAATCTCGCTCTATATTGGGCACCGTAGCATCCTCAAATGAAATACTACTCCGCTGACCTTGAGAAATGGAAATGCGGGCATCCACCTACTGGCACACACGCGAAAGAGGCCCTAAACCAACCTAGACCCTAAACCCGTACAAGAGCTTTATGTACAGCTGCAGGTTGCCGTGTTTGGGTTTTTGGGGCTATATTATACACACACGGTTGAGGGTTTAGGGTTAATAGGGATTCTGGGAAAAAGGGGCAATGTAAGGATAATGGAATAGAAAATGGAAACTTTTTTTTATAACAGTGTATATACTTGTGGGTTATAGTAGGGAATCGGAATAAGGCCCTGGGCAGCTCAATTTAGGGTTTAGGGTTCGGGTTTAGGGTCTAGAGTTTAGGCTTCAGGGACTTCATCACGCGATTCCTGCTGACATCCTTACTGATACAGCGCTGCTACTCGCAGTACACTCAAGGAGATGAGCATAAACCTTGGGGAGGGTTCCCAAAATTAGGGGTCCCTTTTTGCCTATAACAAAGATTATTGTATTTTGGGGTCATTTGGGTTCCTTTTTGGGAGTCCCCATAGTAAGGATTATAATATTTTGGGGTCTATACTTTGGGTCTTTCTGGGAAACTACCGAATCGCTTGCATGCTTCCAGCGAGAATCCGGCATTTAGCCTACTGGTGCGGAAATTCATGGCAAGCTTGAGGAAATACCGGTGCCCTGACTCATGAATCCAAACGGAATTCAACAAGGCTAGGAAAGAAAAAATGGTACATGAGCTCGGCTAGGACGTAGGCCGGCTTGCCAACACCTGGTTATAGCGTGGTTTAGTTAGAAGCTGGCTGTATTTCGTAACCATTCCTGGCAAAGGTTCAGATGAACGGCATTCTCAATGATGGACTTGCGCAACAAAAACTAGACCCGAGGGACCCAAGCGGTCATTGCCCCCCACTCCGGCAAAATTGTTTCACCATGCTTGATAGGCCTGTACTGGGCTCTTATTCTACCTACTCAGAGAATCACTACAAACCATTGCACAGCTGTCAGGAGGAAGAATTCAGAAGCGGACTGTGGTTTTTTCTAGGGGAGGCATGAATACAGATCTCAAACTGTAATCCACGCTAAGAGAGGATTCTGATGCATCAGGAGTTCTGACCCCAAAGAAGTGTCCTGTCCGGCTTAGCAAGCAGTCAGAGGCATTTTCGGGATTAGTCAAGGAGAAGCTAAACGCCCGTCTTCCCTCGTCATGTCTAGCTCTTGTGGACTTCGTTCACAATGCCGTGGCAGTTATAAGCAGCACGTTGGCAATGATATACATGCGAATATGGCTGGATCAAGACATATTACTCGTTTCTCCACCTCGCGCTAGCAAGTCAACGCACAAAACCGGCAGAACCCCTTTTTGACCAGGACTCTCTGATGTGTCTGGCAAGATCCCGGAACCTAAGCCCTTAGCCCTGAACCCCTAACTAGGAGTGTTTGCTCGGTTCATGGCCCTGAAGTAGTCAGACGCAGCCAGAGCTGTAGCTTGTTGGGTTTAGAGTTCAAGGTTTGAGGCTTAGGACTTAGGATACAGAAGTTTCACCACTGACTTGCCGGCCTACTTGCAGAGAGCACGGGCCCAACTTGAGTCAACCGCCTGCGGCTCAGGATTAATATCCCATACATGAACCCCAACACTCATGTTCCCAGTGTAGGATCCCCGAGATACATTTTGAGAAACTCCCAAGGTAAGCAGACTGTCGGGCTCGCCTCCAGACGTTGCTGTTTCAAACCTGTGCAGTGTAGGGCTTAGGATTTAGGAGTTCTGCTGAAGATAAGTTGCTTCTCCCAGATTACCGAAGCCTACCTTCATTGCAAAGGTCGCTTTAGAACAGCGTCAAGAGAGGCACACGACAACTACAGCAAGAAGAGGCAAAAACCATGACAGAACCGCCCCGACACCACGACGAGAAACATGAAATGTCACGACAGGGTTTAAGGAACCTTCCTTGCGGTCATAGAAAAGTAGCCAACATCAATTCCTCGCCTGAATATTGGCCGCTTTTCGTAACGCACCACCAGAACACGGGTGGCTTCTTTAGTAGGGCACAACTTCATGTGGATGTTTCAAGGACTGATGCTGCTTTGCTCCTCCAAGGTCCCAGGTAAGGATTTCAGGGAAACTGAAACAACTGCAAGGGAGGCATCCTCGTGTCATTGCAAACCTCCCATGGACAGCGGCATGAATCGCTTGAGTCGGCCTTCTCCTCTGGGGGGCAATCTACAAAAAGAACCTACACAATGCGGTAGCGCACAGCTTCTGCCACAAAGTTAATACAGGGTCCAGCAGACATCAGCAGGGCGCTCGCTGGCTCACTCACACTCACTTGCGCTCTCTCCTCTTGCTATGGGTGGTTGTCAAAATTAGGGTCCTTTTTTGGTTGGGTACCTTGAATATTAGGTGCCGTACTATAATGGGGAGCCAGAAAAGGGACCATAATTTTGACAACCACCCAGATTCTTCTTCTTCTCAAGGCTCTACCCGCTCCGGGGGAAGGCTCTCTCTCTCTCCCTGTCCGAATCCCTGCCTCCTCCTCCCCACCACCACCACCACAACAACAACACTGCGGTTAAAACCCAGATCTAACCACATTGAAGTTTTGTAGGCTTGACATAGGTACAATCATGATTCTGATCAACTCTCAGGTTTTGGGCTGCGGTCCGCCATATCATACCAAAGCCAACCTGCGACTGATACCATGCCACCACCCCTTCCAATCCTTGATCCCTTGCTTGGGGGTCGTCCCTGTTATTCCTGCTTCGGCGTCTGTAGAATCTCACACCTCTGTGCAGCACCACTGGTACTAGAGATCGTGCTAGTGCGACTGGCTGGGTCGTTCGCACTGTGTCCCATGCCTGAGGCTGGGACTGGTTGCGATAATGGGTGTCACTTTCCATGAACTTGATCATCTTGTCCAGCTGCACATGCACAATGATGGGCGCCATCTCGCGGATCCAAGCTAGCCTGGATGTGCCCACCAATAATGCAATTGCAAGCTGCGTGCTACTTGTACAGGTCTCCGTGTCAAGCACCTACTATCCTACTTCAGGGCAACGAGAGATGGTCCGGCTGCGAAGTGAACACCGCACTCCCAGCAGCAAGGACAGTACAGGTAAAGAGCGTAATTGGTTGCCGAGCTTTCAGCCTTGCAATGGGCGTTACATCTTAAACCTAGCGCAAGGGTGATGAGTGTCCCAATCAAGGAAGGACTGGAGCACCAGCTAGCCTCTAATCATACCACCCCTGGTACGGAGCCTTCTGCAGATGTGCCGAGCTCAGCTCCGTTAGGATATGACTCGAATGGAGGCTTGGAGTTTCTATCATCATGCAAGCGTGGCATTTCAGAAAACTGCCAGAATCGTTGCATTCCTCCTCCAAACATCACCAGCAAAAAACACTAGCAAGTACTGGTTTTCGCCCTGTGAACAAAAAATCCTCTTTCCTAAGTAGATGGAAAACAGAAATTGCGAAGCCCAATTCATGTTCCATGTCAATCATGCTAAGTGGCTTTTTTCAAAACCGACCCCTGTGAATAGGACCCTGCAAGAGTCAGATGGTAGTCATCGGATCCCTTTTTTCCGCGTTCGGACAAACAAAATCCCACCTAGGCAAGCACCCCCACCCGCCTTATAATGAATACCCCCAGAGCAGCAACACAATACCCACGTGGATACGTCTATAAACATGGTTTTTTGGTAGGGGTGCTTCATACTAGGGAGTAGATTGCTGTGTCAACCTAGCTAAACAGCATACGCAGGATACATACGTCAGGTAACTTTGATACACGGCAGCACCCTAGTATCCTAAAAAAACACAAAAACTTTATATAGCAGCTTCCATCTTCTTTACCATTCTCCCTATATAACCCAATGTTACCTACCCCCCCCCACCCACCCCAGCCGAACCCTAAACCCTAAACCCTAAACTCTAAAGTCTAAACCCTAAACCCTAAGCTCCAAAAAACCCTAAACCCCAAACCCACCCCCGGCCCAAGAACGTCATCCACAGATCTGTCTCCTTGATGCCAGATCCCAGCGAAGCGATCCGCCTCTGCAGCCTTGGCGGATTCCAACAACTCACCTGCCCCACACTACGAACTATAGTCTAAACTCCTTAAAAGGGGGTTATATAGGGGATTATATAGGGTTTAGGGTTTAGGGTTTAGGATTTAGGGTTGAGGGTTGAGGGTTGAGGGTTGAGGTGGTTATATAGGGATTATGTAGGGGTTATATGGGGGTTATATGGGGGTTATGTAGGGGTATATAGGGATCATGTAGTATATGTAAGGTTATAGGGGTTATATAGTCTAAACTCCTCAAAGGGGGGTATATAAGGGATCATATAGGGGA